AGAACTGACACTCACCAGCACTTAACCTCTAGAAGCTCAGCAGGGAAGTTCAGGGAAGACAAGATAAGGAAAAGCTGATCAGTCCGATGCTGGAGGTTAGGAAAGCATCCTGAATGTTTGCATATTGTCCAGAGAAGGGGTTCTGTAACTCAGACAATAGCATGTGGACTAAGGAATAGAATTAAACTACCACTTGGGCAGACAGGTTCTAAACATCCTGTTATTAAAAAAAATAAAATAAAAATGCCACACCCTTGACTAGTTTACTGGCACAAGGAATCCAGACAATCATCAATGAAAATGGCCTTTATTAGATACCTGGCATGAAAGGACACTTCCCATGGAAGGTATAAACCTTTGGCCCTGTTTCCCTGAGTCACTCTCCTGGCGCCTCTACTGGCCTGTGGGTAGGTCAGGGGTTGTGGACTCAGACAGACACTGCTTCGACTTCTGCCTGCCCCACTCACCAGCTGTAAAAACTTCAGCCTCAGTTTCCTCATCTGTAAGTTGGGGATGTTTTGTGGGTTAGAGAAAGGATTAAGGGATATTAAGTATCTATTGCAACCTCCAGCATATACTGGGTTAATCAATAAAGTTCTTCAATGTTGCCATCAGACTTTGCTGTTTATTATAAATATCATCTCTCAACACTCTTTGTCCAAAAGAAGAAAAGATTCTGTGCTAACCTTTCAGCAAAGTTTCATTGTGAATGTACTACTTTCTTCCTTTAAGAGTTTTATATATCCGGCCCTCCCTGGTGGCGCAGCAGGTTAAAGCACTGCACTAAGACGCTTAAGCCAATTCTGCATGAGTTAGATCCCCGCCTGCCCTGGAGGTGACCACATGGCACGCAGACCTCTCCTGACCCGCCCGCTGCTCCCCTCAGCAGTGTACTTTGTCGATCTGCCTGTTCTGCTCCCCACTCTGTTCCTGGTGAATCCTCTCACCCTTGGCATCTCTGGCCTATACCCCAGTTCTGTATGAATAAGTAAATAAATCTTTAAAAAAATTTTTTTTCATTTATCTATGCATACAGAACTGGGGTGCAGGCCAGAGGTGCAGGGGTGTGAGAGGATTCATCAGAGACAGAGAAGAGAGCAGAACAGGCAGATTAATAAAGTACACTGCTGAGGGGAACAGCAGGTGGTTCAGGAGAGGTCTGCTGCGCCATGTGGGTCACCTCTGGGGCTGGGGATCAAACTCATACTGAAGCAGCTGTGGCTCGCTTACTAATTTCTATGCCTGTGTGATATGGAAGAAGCAGAAATATAAAGCTTATACAACCTCACCCTGAAGGAACTTGCTCTAGTGACAATGATAATATTTTCATTTCATAAAACAGTAATCTTAGTATCTTATTAATTTCCAATGCACAGAGTGATAAGAGTCAAGGAATTGGGTTCTGCGGTGTAAAAAATTTGCAAAGAATTATTTTCCTTTTGGTAGGAACAGAAAAATCTGAGAAGACGTCCTGGAAGAAGTCATGAGTAAAGTCTAGATTCAGAGAAGTTCAGCTGAAATGAGAAAGGGAGGGAAGAAAAACAGTAATTTGCTTTTCCTGGAAGCATACACCTAAGGTCTGAAGACTTGAGTGGAAAATCAAGTAGTGGAAATATGTTGAGTTCAATTTCTTTCAATAGTCCCTCACTCCCCTTGCAAAAGTAAATATCCCATCTTCCCTCCTTTTTCTTTAACTAAGTTAAAGAAAATTTAAAGTTTAGTTTCTAAATTACATAAATATTGAATCATTAGCTAGCCAACTTAGAAAATTCAAACAAATGAAAATTAAAAACATTCATATTCCTACTCCTTAGAAATCACTATTCTAGAATGTCATATAAGATTATGTATGTGCACATGTGTATTAGACTGAACATGCCATTTACATTATCATATGAAAGGATTATCATGTGTCTTTTTAAGAGCTCACATTTTGTGACTTGGTTAACAAGTTGCATACATGTTTTCAATGTCTAGAAATAGGGAATACTATTATCTTTAACAACTGTATGCCATTCCACTAAATGTACATGCCACAATTTATTTAATCCATCCTTCCTTGAAGAGCCCATTGTGTGTCTGTGTATATTAAAAATTATTCTAATTCAAAAAATTTATTCTAATTATAATATAATAATTATTTGTTCAGATAGAACATTTGGAAAATATAGCAATATAGGTGGGTTTCTATTTTAACTTTATCATAAAAATCTTTGATCAACATTAATTATCAAGAATAAGAAGAAACATTAATTATCAAGAATAAGAAGAAACAACATTAATTATCAAGAATAAGAAGAAACTGCTGATGCAAGGGGTTAAAACGCAGCTCTGTGAAGCTCTTGGCAGCCACTACAGCGCATGGTGCAGCGACCTTTCCTGACCGGCCGCTGCTCCCCTCAGCAGTGTATTTCAGTCCATCTGCCTATTCTGCCCCCCACTCTGTCTCTGATGAAACCTCTCACCCCCCCACCCCACACCTCTCGCCTGTACCCCAGTTAAACTTTGTATGCATAAATAAATAAATCTTTAAAAAATAAAACAAGAACCTAATCAACAAACTTATTTAACTCCATATCCACATTTACTCATACTCAAGATATCCAAAAAATCCACAACTTGCTAGTAATGCCCTTCTGATAAAACACAAAGCCAGTGCTAGTTTCCTGTGAGCTGACCTCATCCTCCATTTTTATAAAGAAAAATCCAGATATTATAATACTGAGTACCCCAAAATTGCACTATATAAAACTTAAATTGTCTTAAAATACGTGAATATTTAAAAGGAAAAGAATTGTTCAAGACAAAGATAAATGTGTGCAACTGCTTCAAAAATAATCTAGTTTGACATTCTTACACAAAATTGATTTTACAAATGCATATTTTAGACATATGTAAAGAGGATAATAACAAGGGTTAGCTTTCTGCTTTGCATATTTAACACTTGTAATTTCACACTATAATCGTGTTAATGTTTTATCAGAAGGAAATAAACCTTAAGGCATGAGAAGTTAAAAGAAAAAAATAAAAGCACTCCTATTCCTACTACTCACTATTAAAATTCTGCTACATTTCCCTCCATCTTTTCCATGGCATCGATTACTAAGTCAGTAATCTATTTCTAAACAGCTGGAATCATAGTATAATCTCACATCCTGCTTAGTTCAATCATACTATAAACATTTCCATTCATAAACTCGTCATAAACATTTTTAAAGGCTGTATAATATTCCATTGAATGGTTATGTGATCATTTATATAATGTTTCCCCTATGTTTGAATATGTACATTACTTCCATTTTTTTCTACGTTACACATGAAGTTTCTATCTAGATGCACAAATCCATGTCTGCACTTTATATTATTTCCTTACAAGAGATTCCCAGAAGTGGAATGGCAAGCTCAGAAGCAATGAACATTTTTCAGGTCTCTGGTACAGACTGCCAAATTGCTTTCCCAAAAGAGTTGTACCAGTTCACACTCCCACTAACAGTGTTGCTCATTCCCTTTTTAATAGTATCATGTGACTGAAACGGCCAATAGTGAGGCTTAAATAAACTATCATACATCTAGCCAGTGAATTATAGTGCTCATGAACTTGATTACGAGGCCTGCATAGTAACATGGAAAAATAGTTATGCTGCAATGTCAAGCAGAAAACAGAATTAAATGTAATCACTACATTTTTAAAAGTCCAAATAATGGTGAAGATTGGTCAAAAAAAAAAAAAACAGAAAACACTGACACATAAGGATAAGAGTGGTAGGATAATTATTTCAAGATTTATCACTGCCTCTCCAGTTTTAATTATTTTCCTCCTCTGTGTTAATTTCACCTATCCTACCACTTAACATTTCAAAAGTTTTAAATACAGGCCATATATTAAGGCTTCAGAATTGCACTGTGCAGGATTTCCAAAAATTGCTCCTGCAGAATTCTAGTATTTCCAAGGCCGGCCCAAACATATTCGCGGCTCAAGGATCATGGTGGTCTTTTCTAACTTCCCAGAAATAATTAAGTCAATGAATGGAATTTTCTCAAATGTAAATTCTCCCATGATTTTTTTCCTCAAACCTCTGGCAACTGCCACCACTCTTGTGCTAGCAGACGACAAGAATGAAGACTTCACAAATAGTAACAAAAAAAAAAAAAAAAAAAACCGCTGAAACAGCTGGTCACATTCTATAATCCCACACTTGTAGCTGGCTGTCCTCTTACCGGCATGGAAGCGTCGGATTTTCTGGGGCCTTCCCTGGTGGAGCAACAGGTTAAAGCACAGCACTACTATGAAGTTATCCACAGCCACTGAAGCACAAGTTCCATCCCCGGCCAGGGAGCTGACTGATACGGCTCAGCAGACCTCCCCTGTCCCGCCCTCTGCTCCCCTCAGCAGTATATTTCAGTCCATCTGCCTGTTCTGTTTCCCAGTCTGTCTCTGGTGAATCCTCTTACCCCCGGCACCTCTGGCCTGCACCCAGTTCTTGTATGTATAAATAAATAAACTTAAAAAAAAAAAAAGTTGTTTTTAATTAAAAAAAAAAAAAGTTGGATTTTCTGCTAACAAAACAGGACTAAGTTCTGTAATGGCGTAAGAGGAACAGGTGATGCTGATCACTGAGATGTCAGTGGCTGAAATTTACCACGTGAAGAGGCTTGAGCAAAATTGAGTTTCGATCCCTCCTACCTGTGTTTAAACACAAAGGATCTCTTAACTGGAGCTGCCAGGGTCTGACTGCAAAACTGATGCGAGAAGCCACCATCTTCTTGACGACTAAGTCCCATCTCCACTGCCATGCTTAATGCTTCCCTGACCTCCATGTAGTCTCTCCTTTCATCAGGACATGATGGTTGGAAGCCTAGCTACTCGCAACCTTTCTATCTACTTTACATTTCAGGAGTCAGCAACATCAGCGCACGACCCCACTGACTTACCAGGAATGCAGATTTCCCACCCCAGACTTCTTGAGTCAATCTGTCTTTTAACAAGACAGGTGATTCACGTGCACAGTCTGAGAAGCATTGGGCTAAACCACCAGCTGACGTCATTCATCTCTGCAGATACTTCAGTGACTCCTGTGGCTGTAAGGAAAGGCGCCAAACTCAGCAATCTTGCCCCAGCCTCTTCTCAGTGAGCACCTATGGAGTCAATATCCCTTGAGCACACTAGGCTTTCTGAAGCCTGGTGAAGCACAGATCTGCAGCTCTCTCTGTGAGACTTAAGATGGTGAGTTCATACACAACCTTCAAAGTCCAGCTCAAACCTCCTCCAGGAAGCCCTCTGAGACTCCTCTTCCAATCACACTCCCTGCCCCCACTCCCTTAAAATGAACAGGCCTCCTTATTAAGTGGTCTGTGTACAAATGTGAAGCCCCCACTGGATGGCAATTTCTTCGTGGGTGCCTTAACAGATACTTAACCCATACTTGCTCCATGAAAATGAGTGAACAAGTGAACACAGATACTTCTGATTCTGCCACATAGTCCCTGCTCAGATTTTCCCTTCAAAAAATGCCCTGT